CCCAATGACTCTGCTCTTTCTAACATTCACCCAAAGCTGTCCTTTCTATAACTTAGGACACGGCATTTGGGGACAATAAGGAAAACGTCTTGAGTGTTTTCTGTGTGACATCCTTTCAGGTATTGAGAAGCATTAGATTTCTCAAGTGGAAGGAAAATGGGCCCAGCTCCTTCAAACAGAAAACTTCAAATTTAATTTTTAGTCCCCTGATCGTCCTTGCTGTCCTTCTCTAAACCATTCCGGTTTCTCTTCAGGTGTGTTGCCCAGAACTGGACTTGGTACCAAATTTGGCATCTGACCCAAGCAGATCTCTTTAAAGTGGGGAGGGCCACTGATTGTGGGATGAGAGCTTCATTCAGCACTGTATGGCATAAAGGGCTGAACATTAAAAGAAATTTGGGGGAGGGAGAGGAGACATGCCTAGGAAAAAAGTGAGCAAAATTAAAAGAATGTGGGCAAAAAAGACGGAGTGTATGTTAACAATTGATATGTTCGGTATATGAATAAATTAAAAATAAAATGTTCTGCCTGTCAGTGGCCAAAGGCTTGCAATAAACCTCCAAAACAGTATAAAAGCCCAAGCATCACTACCCATTTTTTTCTTAAAACTGAATATACTGTTCCACAATACCCATCCACCCACACTTACACACACACACATCAAGAAACCAAAACAAATGCGGTCCCTTCTGTCCCCAAATGAAGCATTTCAGAAGGTGAAAAAATAAACAGCTCAGTTGCAAAATATTGCTGAAGTTGAAATTAATGTTAAATGGCTCCAGATGTCTTAAATGCAAACCACCTTGGATATTTTTTGCCAACTTCCTTTTTTCCGCTTAACCGTAACCCCAAACCTTTCAGATAGTGAGGTATACAGTCTCCAATCGATTTGTCCCCAAAGTTGGGCAGCAACTATATTCCTCATGGAGGCTCCAGCAGTTCCAATAAAAATTAGTCTTTCTGCTAATTTTAGAGGAGCTTGTTTTAATGGTTATACTTCTCTGTGCATTTCAGACAACCGGAGATTTTTAATCAACTGGGAATGAGAAAACCCTAGAAACTAACATTAACCCACATTTTCCATAGCAAACTTTCCAGGGTTGGGAGAATTCCCTGAAATCTGTTGCACACCTGGCAGATGTTGTGTTCCAACAGCTGTTTTCCTGGCCCCTCCTGAGAATCCTGTTACTAGGTTCACGCTCATGTGATTTCCTGCTTCGGACCATCTCATTAATTTCATGCTCCCTATTCCCCAATATCTCGGATTATTCCAATTTTCTGTTACAAAGCAGTCTGAGTGCCACGCGTAGCGAAGTGACATTTTTATGACCTTCTCCCAAGGGAAATCAGAAGCACAATAATAGAGATAAGAACAGCGCAAACAGGAGAGGGAACGGAGAGACTTTTGCCTCCTAATGCGGTCTTAAGCCCCCAATTTGGACTCAGATAAACACACCTGTCCCAGAAGCTTCACTTTTGAGGGTGTGAAGGAGAGAGGAAGGAAACGAACTGCAATCCTTCAACAACTACTTTCTACCAATCACAAAGAGGGAAAAGAACAATATTTCGGGGTTGTCTGAGTCATCTCCTAGCTTAAACAAAAAAATCCAGATTAGGGATGGTCAGTGTAGAGGTTGAACCATTCCCAAGTCAATGGTCGGGTAATAGAACTATATTTTGTGAACTGACACCCTAAAGCAGCGTTTCTCAACCTTGACCACTTTAAGATGTGTGGACTTCAACTCCCAGAATTCCCCAGCCAGCCTGGCTGGCTGGGGAATTCTGG